GAAGAATAATGTTCACTAATCAAAAAATGAATAATTTGGTCAAAAAATGCATTCATCAAAGGTCTTTTATAATAGATACTAAGTTTTTTTGTTTTCTTTAATTCACTTGTCAATCAAATTAGCTGTATTTTGATAAAATACAAGGCTGAACAGTTGATTCGAAAGTTGTTTATGGTTCTTAAATTGACTTTTATGAAGCTATAAATAATTGGCTTGATTTTATTAAATCGGTATTTCTAGGGATATTTATGTGCCGATACTATTAAACGCAAAAACAAAACTGCTGATACTCTTTTTATTTGTTATTTATCTTGGAGTAAGTATACTGTACTTTTGCGCCTTAGAAACCGTTGTTTTCATTACTTCTTTTCATATTTTTTTAATATGCATTTTATGAAAAAAAAAATCTAGAATTACTGTTTAATCTGAGTTGAAACTGCTCGGAATCCAATGATTAATTAATGAACAGTTACGATTGCCTTGTACCTCTGTCTTCTAATCTGTCAGAAAAATTCTATAGGTATGAAGATAATCTAGGTTGCTATAATTGGGTTGATGGATATGGAACAAGGACTAGATTATGACAAGTTGCTGTTGCGGACAGATCCAATTGTAAAAACAATTGCTGTGGAAATCGAATTGTTTCATGGAGGTGACCAGGTAAATAATATCATGCTCTATCTCCTTCGTATGAAAAAGTTTCCAACGCATGATCATAAAGATTTTTGTTACAAACTTGTTTTTTCAAAGGTTAGAATCAATTTACTTTTTATTTGCCTCAGTAGCTTAGGTTACATCACCAGCACACTCCATTGCCGATCGCAGTTCTGCAATAAAAAACACCCTGCTATTTATAGATAGAAATTGCTGTGGTTAATGCTCCAGATATGACTGTTCCAAGTAATCGAGACTTGATAGAGCAAATGGTTTCTGATTTTGAGTCTATAGAATATTCAATAGGCCCGAAGGGTACTCAGGTGTGGACACGTGAGTACGTCAAGTACGCAAACCTTACGGATTCGTATCTTCAGAATGATCATGCATCTTGGGTTGTTGGTGTTTATCAATGGTCGCAGCTGTTTGCATTTTACAAACTTTGGTGAGGGCTCTCTATCTCAACATTTGTTGCAATTTCTCACACCAAACCTTAAGTGCGTGATATTTATTTCGAACAATGCTTTAATAAAATTACCTGGTACACAGTTCTCATTAGCACCTTGAAACATTCTATCATAATTCAGGGCCCAGGACTTTGTTTGGGAAAATGAACATGACATGAACCTGCTACGGATGAAATCATTTCGTTTTCGGCTCGGTGTCAGCGAATTCAATAATCCGTCAGACCTTGTGCGAGTAACACGGTTCCTGAGAGAAGTTGCTCAAAAATATCTCGATCTCAAAATTTACACCTATCAGATTAGTCGAAGTATTGCAGATCAAGTAAGCTACAATAATGCAACAAGTTTTTTACCTTTCAAATTTTCTCCTCTGTTTGGTTTGTCATCAACTGACTTTTTAACTACTATTCCGTATCAAACAATCATTCCTTGAGTTTGTCACTTTTGAAGAATATAGGGTTTGTTTTACTTAAGTCTTTAAACATCTGTTACTTCAGCTTGACGTTATATTACCAAATACTGTACAAAATGATTCTGTCGCCTTGGTAGTTCTTATGATTATTTCAATTTTATTTATACCAAATCTAATCTGCACGTTTTGGATCACCATATCGATTGTAACCATGGATATCGGTAAGGTTTTTTTGTGTGTTACTGCCTGTTGGTTCTTAAGCACTCGGGTCTTTTCAGGAGTAATTGGCTACCTGGCGCTTTGGAGCGTAAAGCTGGACCCCATCTCAATGATAACCATAATCATGTCGATTGGATTCTCAATTGAGTTTTGTGCCCACATAACATATGGTTTCGTTAGCAATGATGGTAACTTGACTCCTAAGGAACGGTGCATTGATTCGCTGGAAAAATTAGCTTGGCCAGGTAAAAGATTAAACAACATCCTTCTTTCTAAGCCATACGGTAAGAGATAGATCAGGAAGGCAAATTCACAAAATGGAAACTTGGCCAGAAAGTGCATTTTGATAGAGCTTTAACGAGAAATTGTGTCAGATTTGTAGGACTAAATTCAAAAAAAAGATTTTCCTCAAGACCTCCCTAAAAATTCTCCATATAAAACATTTCAGTTTTACATGGTAGCATGTCAACAATCTTGGGAGTAACAGTCTTAGCATTCATCGACTCTTATATGGTTCTCGTTTTCTTCAAAACAATATTCTTGGTCCTTGTAATTGGCGTATTTCACGCTCTAGTTTTGCTACCAATTATTCTTGCCGAGACTGCACCAACCATGGACCGAATAAGTCGGTCGAGTAAAAAAGTAAGACCAGCAAACGAAGAGAATAAACAGAACGTTTATAAAATAAACCTTGAGATCCATCATAATTAGGAGTTTCCAATAAGCTCAGATGGAGTAGGTGAATGCAAACTTTGGGAAACCTCTCCTAAAAAAACTCTTTAGAACTCATCAATCTTTTTTTGTTATAGTCTGTCAAGCACCTTTTTTTCCTCTACGGGTATAGCCGATTGATGTACTGCCTTGAAGTTACGTCATTTCTTGATATCCATTTTAAACTTCTTTCATAGCTGATTCGATCAGATAGTCTTGCAAAGAAAAAATAAGATTAATTATTGTTTCAAATCTTCTTCCCACCGCTGAAGATCCTTCCGGAAAAAAAACCAACAGTTGCAGTCGTCACTCAAGTAACTGAATCAGTGAAACCTTAATAATAGCTTTCTTTATTCAATCAGCGTTTGAGGAACCACTGAAAATTCTATCAATGTTTTTTTTTTTTTCAAAGAAAACGTGTCCGACTTCTCAAAGCTTGTTTCAAAACTTTCATATAACTGCTTCCTGCAACTAAATTATAAATCCCAAATAACTACCAGATTGCTTTGGCAAAATCTTTAAAAAGATTCATAAATGTTGTAAGGTCTTAAACAAACTATTCACCAACCGGAAAAAAAAACCGATAGACCATCCATCTGCATAATTAGTGTTAAT